GATCTCCCAGCAACCGTTGCTCACCTTGTTCCAGGTACCAGCGTGCATCTCGCTGGAACGATCACCCAATTGACGTGCAAGCATGACCATTTCACCAATGACCAACTCGGCGACACTGCGAGAGTTGCTGAAGGGAGAGTTGAAGACGGCAATACCCTGCTCAGCGGCATATTGAAGGTCGACCTGGTTGGTACCGATACAGAAGCAACCGATGACGATAAGGTTCTTGGCTTCCTTCAAGACTCGTGCGGTGAGCTTGGTCTTGGAGCGAATACCGATAACGTGGACATCACTGCAATACAATACAATCCATGAGCTTTGTGAGTCACCGGAAGGGAAGTTAGATTGGGACCCACCGAATCTTCTCAATGAGCTGATCTTCTGAGAGGGAAGACTTCAGGAATTCCACCTGGTAGCCTTGCTTGGAAAGAATCTCACGGCCAGTCTGGTTGACATTCTCCAGGAGCAGGACCTTAATATCTGTCGTAGCGAAGGGCTTCAAGTGCTTAGCATTGACTGGAACTGTACGGTTGAGAACAGAGCTGTGGCTGGACGGAGAGTTGAAGGAGGCACTGGGGGAGGTAGCGAGGATGGCCGCTTCGTCCTGACGAGGACGGATATCTCTTGCGATTGACATGATGTGTGTGTGTGTGTGTGTGTGTCGGAGATTGAAGAGAAACAATGAAGATGTGAATAGGTGGACCACAAGGTCCCGGGATGACTCTTAATAGACATTAAGTAAGCCCCAGTTCTCCGGAATCGGACTCGGTGACTCTTATTTCGGGAATCTACCTTTTATAGCTACATGCATTTAGTAAATATATCTAGTACTTATGATCAATTGATTCCTTTTATTATAATTGAATAGATATTGAGATATATAATGTATACTCTCTCTCTGTGTATTTTATTGAGGGGCATCGCGGGGTGCCTTTTTTTTTTTTTTTTTTTTTTACTTTTTAAAGTTCTGACCAATCACATGTAGATCACATGCTAAACTTATCTACTTTGGGAAATTGCGTGCTTAATCTATATCTACAACAACATACATCTATGGAATCTATGAATTACATAGTCAAACATGCTCTAATGATGATTTCAGAATTGGAATCTATTAGAAGTATTGAAAAAAAATGCCCGACGCCATTGCTGGGGTAAGTTTGACTTACAACTGCCGGACGGCATGTTCTAAGTCATGTCAGTATAACCTAAAAAGAAAATCTGAGAAGACTGTCCAAATACAAGGCCGCATAAGCGACCATTCTTGTTATGCCTATGAATCATGAATCAAACTATCGTAATTTGTAATTTGTATCTCAAGGTACATTGTGGGATATCTCCTTAAACCTGAAGACCTTGCATCTTTTTGGTGGCATCATCGGTGCCCTTGGTAGCCTTCCCCTTGGCCTTGGTGGATGTGCTGTCCTTGGGAAGTTCCTTGGTATAAGGAAGGAACTCAGGAGCACCGGGAATGTATTTCCGCAGTACCTCGGGAACCTCGATACCCTAAATAATAGTCAGTTACTGTTGAAATTACCATTGAACCTTCGACACTTACATCTTCTTTCTGGTAGTTCTCAAGCAGACAGCAGAGCGTACGCTCGGTTGCGCACAGGGTGGAGTTCAGCGCATGGACATAAGTCTTCTTGATATCGGTGGCCTTCTTCGTGCCGTACCGGATCTCCAGAGCACGGGACTGGTAGTCGGTACAGTTGGAGCAAGAAACAAGCTCCTTGTACTCCTGCTGGAATGGGAACCAGGCCTCGAGATCGTACTTCTTGGATGCTGCGTTGTTTAGGGCGCCGGAAACAATGGCGACAATGTTGTAAGGGAGTTTGAGGGACTGGTAAAATTCTTCTGAAGTGCTGATCATGTCCTCAAACGCTTGCCATGAATCCTCGGGCTTTGTAAGAACAAACTGCTCGATCTGCATGGGGTTAGAAAGTGAGAATCCAGGGCTTTTGGATCTATTCTAACCTTTTCAAATTGGTGAACACGGAAGATACCCCAGGCATCTTTTCCGTGAGATCCAGCCTCCTTGCGGTAGCATGTGCTGTAACCGGCATACCTATTTCCTTTATTAGCAAACATTACTTAATCCTGGACGATACAGGAGTCTTACTTGATGGGCAGATCCTTGTCCTGGAGCCACTCGCTGTCGTGTAGGGCGGACAATGGTTGTTCGGAGGTAGCAATGAGGTACTTGTCAGTTGACTTATCCTCGCTCTCGGTGACCTTATACAACTCTTCGTCGAATTGCTCAAGCTGCGCGGTCTTCGCCATGAGATCCTTGAGCATGAATTGAGGGGGCTGGTTGGGAGTGTAGCCCTTGTTGAAGAGGAACTCCAGACCATAGTTGATAAGAGCCAAGTTGAGGAAAAGACCATAGCCAGTCAAGCAGTATCCACGGTGCCCAACAATCTTGACACCACGCTCGGGGTCATATCCATCAAGACGAGTCAACACTTCGTGGTGGGAGAGACAGCCTGGCTTCTGCAATTCGGCGTTCTCGGGGGTCCATGTCTTGATCAGCTTGTTGTCCGCCTGTAGCCAGAAAACCCCGTGTTAGTCTCGCGGCGCATGTAATCCCCAGGCGACTTAAGAGCCCATACCTCATCGTTGCTCACGGGCACGGATTCGTGAACGTAGTTTCCAATCGTGCGAATCTTGCGGTCGCGTTGAACCTCCTTAGCGACAGCAGATTCCTCGAGTTCCTTCTTCTTTGCCTCGAGTTCTGCCTTTTGTGCGAGCAACTCGGTTGCGTCTTCCTTGTTCTAAGAACGGGTTAGCATCTCCATACACTAAGCTTTCGGGGAAATGCCGACCTTTTTCTTCATTCCAATTGCCTTCTGAACTCCATTGATCTGAGAGCCCATCTGTGTGACCTCATATCGAGCTAAATCTATCAGTAAGGTTCCGCGAACATTAGAAGAAAAGAAGCCATACCGCGTCGTGCCTCTTCATAGAGCGCGACAACTTCATCGACGGTCTCCTCTGGAGCAAATCGCTTCCGCTGGCTCTCCTTGATCTTCTTGAGATCACCACCGCGCTCAGTAACAAAGTCGGCAAGGTCCAGCATATTGGCGATTGGAGTTCAAAGGTTCAGGGAAGTGGTAGAGGGGTGACTCAAATTGTGGAGGGGTAAAAACGAGGAAAATCTAAGTGCGTGCATCCACGCACTTGTGCATCAAGCGCCGCATTACTTAATCGATAAGGCGCTCCAATGCTCCACAACCTCTTTACTTCCAAATAAAGTAATTATGACCACGGATGTTCCTATAGATCAATCTAATTTCAATATTTCGCTGAACTTATAGAAGCCTGTTTAAATTGAGATTCATTACTCTATGCATGGTACCGATCCATGTTCCCTTACCGACCCTAAAACTCATTATTCATGCAATAACCCAAAGGTTCCACCAGAAAGACGCAATAGACGAAGGAAATAGAACCAAAAGACGGCCTCCAGAAGAAGCCATCACGCTGTTATCAAATTGGCGTTGATCTCTAAGTCGATAATCAAGTCAGCAAACAAGACATCCGTAGATCTGAATTGAGTGAACATCAAAGCAAGGGATAATATTGTCAGCTTCAATGAAGAGATATTCCTTGTTTCTTGACTCAGAGATCCAGAGATCAAGAGATGGCTTCGCTTACCATCTCTGGGAGAAGCACACGTGTTCCAGTTGAAGGCATCCGTACTACATCAAAGTGCACTTGTTGTTCCCAGTTGGTTGTGAGGGATTTTGAGACTTCTCAACCTCTCCTATCATGAGATCAAAGGCTTTCGAGACATTGAAATCAAGGAAAGCGCTAGCCTCGGTGAAAGCGCAGCCGAGCTCCTCCGCTAATTGCCGTCCGTCATCAAGAGTAACTTGGCGGTGATCGGGCTTGAGATCACTCTTGTTTCCTACTATAACAAGCGGTACATCATCCGCTCCCTAGAGAAAAGATTAGATGCTAATTCATGAGTACTCGTTATGGGGAGGGCGGTGACTAACGAGGTGGTTCAGAATCTTGTCGCGAATCACCCGCACCATATCAAATGACTGGCGCGATGTCACTGAATAGACAATGATATATCCATGAATTCCAATGAAATGCTTGGAGTTCAAGATACTATATTCGTCCTGTAGAATGGTCTTAGTAACCAATCGGCATCTCACACGGAGATTACCTACCTGTCCTGCAGTGTCGACGATCTCAGTTGCATAGTCCTGCCCGTTGTGCTTGATAATCCGGCTGAATGTGTTCTCGATTGTAGGGTAATAGCTTTCCACAAAGTGGTGCTCGACGAAGCGAACCGTGAGGGATGATTTACCTATTAAAAGATAAATGTTAGTTCTTCGCAATTATAACGATTTAGATTGAACAAGGGGTTCTTACCCACGGAGCGACTGCCAACGATTGCGATCTTTCTCTGCTTAGGCGCGGAAGGCATCTTGTACGGTGTGGTAAGACTCAGCTAAACCACCAATGTGAATAGGAGATGATGATGATACAGCTAGGTGAGCGGTATACTTTGATTGATAAACCTGGATCAACGAAATATTCAGAGACAAAATGGGACCTGCTCAGAAATCAGGTCGTCGGGGGGTGGCAAATCCCTCGAAGCATGCGGAGCTCCAACTCCTTGTAACCTGCAAACAATGCAAACGGCAGTTTCTCCAACTCATACAAAATAACCTGTAGCTACGTTCTATGATTGCTAAATCTTTATAGAACTGCAAAACAGAAATTAATAAATCTCACTTTCCTTAGTTGAGATCTCGACTTGAGGTTATTATTATGATCTTAATCAGTGGTGGACATCTCAGGTGGATATGCATGTGGACCATTCTAGCGTAAATGGTTCAATTAAAAGTAACAAGGAAAAGGGGTATCAAAAGCTGCCAACAGACCAATAAATTCATGTCATCGGGTCTAAAAGATGCTGGTAGAAAAGACCAAGCGCGCGCTAATATGCCGTCAAGCGACACATGTATAGCGCAGAACGCTCATCATTGCTCTGCCAGTCGAATCCGAGTGATAAGTTCTTGTAACCTGGACAGGAACCCACTCGCCGGTTGTCCCTGGGTTGGAAAAGTGGAGATCTCTTGTTCAATCTTCTGATGATATTGCAGGAACTCATCAACGGTAGATATTACCGCTGTCAATCCCTTGGGAGCGAGTGAGCTCTTAATTTTAGATCGAGGCTCAGGATCCAAACTGAGTGTTAGCAAAAGGACGGCCAAATATCCCACGGCGACATTATGGTGTACTTCCAAGACCGAATGAGCCTAAGCAGATCCAGTTAGTCCAATGCGTTGGCAAAAGGGAAACCAAAACATATCAAAAACCTACCGTGGAGATGGAATCGACATGAGTCATAAATAAATGCAAGAGTTGATCAAGGAAAGTCCTTGAGGAACCAGCAGAGCGAAGAAAAATCGATCTTGATGCTTCACTTTGTTCAGTCAGGTTGATAAGTGCGCCAAGCGCCAATATCACGCTGTCCAGAGAATTGTTCGCTTGCCCAAGCGCATCTTCAGTCAAATCACCGAAGTTCGCAGAGACAATGTGAACCAGCCCCCCGACCATCTCCGGGGTTGCAAATCTATCACAGAGAAGGGGGTTGCTGTTGGTGATGTTTAAGATAAGTCGGATGTAGAGAGGTTGTATTTGGCTGACAGTGCCCGGCTCCAAACAGAGAAGGTTATGCAGCTCAGAGAGCGGGTCTAGAATATCCCAATGCTCTTTTGTGAACGACTCAGCCAATGCAGTAGAAGCTTCCAAGATTGAAAAGCCCATGCACAGTATCTGAGAACTCTCCGGGTGTATATTCTCCAACGAAATACAACGTTGGCTTTCGGACACAAGCGCTTGTACCAACGGTTTCAGAAGAGATGTGGAAAGGCTAGGGCTCTCGCCTTTGGTTTGCATTGTGGAAATTGTGGATTGCAGGCAGTACAATGCCAAAATGCACGGGGATAGTTTCGACAAGGTAGTGCCAGGAAATAACATAGCGGCTATCTGTGGAATGGTATTCCCAAGTGTCTTTTGCAAGGGCCGAGAAAGTCCGCCGGCTTGAGCTTTTGCGGCCACTAGTATATCGTCTTGCATGCTCAATAAGGCAGGCGATGCATCTAGAAGCTTAGGCCACGCGGAAGTTGCAAGAACATAAGACATGTGTCCGTCTGATGAACCCAGTGCGTAGGCACAGAAAGCCAGGATAGTGGGGATTACCTGGAGATCCATGGACAGACAATCCACAAGCCTTTTGTCAAAATTGCATTCGACAAACCGTCGTTTGAGTCCAGTATCCAGAAGTTTGCCACACAGTTGGAGGAAGGCACTGCATCGACCCATCAACGAGTTTTGCGGATCTTCGATATCCTCGAAGATAGACTCGACGGCGCCTCGGTAACGGGCGTTTCCTCCAGCTTGTCTAAGTTCATGAATACTTCGGACAGATCCATCCTCGTTGGTATCCTCATTTGGCACGATTAAGCGGGCTGTGGAAGTAGCCTCATAATTCAGCTGGCGTTGAACAGACTGAGAGCGGTGCTTCGGACCAGAAGCATTGTCCATCGAAAGATCCTCTGGCGTAATCATATCATCCAAAAAAGAACGCTGACGTGCATACGTGACCCGGGAACCTCGTAAATGAGAAGGGAGTGAGGCGGGGGAGCCCTGAATGTGACTTTCGGCGGGACCCTCATTTACAGTCGCACTTGGTGAAGCTCGGTCAGGAGAGGTTGGGTTCGGAGACGGCTGGCTATCAGCGAGGCCCTCTGTTGAAGTTCCAACTTCTGGAGAAGTTATAACCGGGTCTTCGGTGATCCCGAGCGAGTCAATCAGTCTTTTCCGACCAGGGGTGATGTTCGCTTTAGTAGTATAGCCCTGGTTGATGTCCGGCGAGCTCTTTCGCATGGACGCTGCATCCTCTATGCTCTCATCGTTTGATACACTCGTTTCATGCTCGAGAGCAGATACCTTAGGCTGGCTACGCACAGACCTCCCTCTCCTTGGCGATCTCACGGAGCTTGTCTCCTGATCGGGTTCTGGCATTTTGGCCAATGGCCTCCGGCGATCGGGCATCCTCTTCCCCGTTTGGGGTGACATGTTATTATCCCCATTTTCTGGCTTGCTTGGCTTCTCCGATCGCGTAGTCGCAAGAACGGCCTTGTTTCCTTCGGGGCTATATCGCCTTCGCTTTCTCTGGACCATGGACATCTGCTCATCATCTGAAGAAGGGAAGTCATACACGTTAGATTCTGTAATGGGTTTTGGTTGTGCAAGACCTCGAGTCCTGGTCGTTTCTACCGGTCCAGACGGTTTATCCCCATTTTTGTCGCGCTGCGACTTGGTGTACAATGGCCGTGAGAGACGCGACGACCTCGGCAAGGGCATTTCTTTGGGAGTTGCTCTAGTGTCAGATGAGCGCATAGGCTTTTCGGTAGTCGATGGAGGTTGACTTTTGGCAGTAGAACCATAGGTTACGAGTCGTCGATTCCGAGGTTGTGAGTTATCCATCTTCGGTTCACAAAGCGGGCGAAAGTAAATGCGCACGCGTTGTTTGATAGATTCGACCAGGAAATCTGATTCTCAGAGGGCAATCAAGGTATGCCAAGGAGCAATTGGATGGATTGAGTAAAACGTAGTCGTTTCTCGAGACGAAGCCATGTCCTTGCGAAGTTCAATGGAGCTTACACACGCTCAAAGGGTGTGGCGCAGTCATCAAAGAAGAGACACCCTTAGGTAATCAATGAGAGAGGTTTGAATTGCCTAGAAATTTCCTTTTTGTTAAGATAACTGACAGCACCGAGGTTCTAGGAGGTGATGCAAGTGATAGGTGATAAGAGGCGGAGGGGGGCGAGATGGGGCAGAATCACCCACTGCGGTATAGCTTCTTAAAGATATAGAAAAAAGATAAGAGAAAAACCCTACATGCTTCCCCGCTCTTGGCTTGTAGAGACATATTGTCGCTCACTGTCCTTTTCTACCCCTCTCTAGATTCTCGTGTTTAAAAGGTAAGACTGTTGTCTTGAAACTTCTCCGGTGCTTCCATATTCTAACGACTTTTTTTTTCTTTTCAGTCCAACGACCCACATTCACACACACATCTTTTGACCCAGCAAAATCATGGCTAGCAAAGAGACAGGTCCTTCTCCTGCGCAGGGCGTTGGTCCTCTATATCGTCCCGATGGCGAGAAGCCTACTGCGACAGTCTCTAAGGAAGTCTCTTATGAGAATGTCCACGTGCTACCTCAAACACCCCAGTTGATTGCTCTCTTGACGTGAGGACCCATTTTCTACATTTAAGGTAAACCTTAAACTCATGTTTCGTGCCAAAAATAGGATGATTAGAGACAAGAGAACAAGCCGTGCCGACTTCATCTTCTATTCCAACCGCATCATTCGGTTGTTGGTGGAGGAAGGCTTGAACCACCTCCCCGTTGTTGAGCAGTCCATCACTACCCCCGTTGGACGGTCCTACCTTGGTGTCAAATTCGAAGGAAAGATTTGTGGTGTGTCTATTATGCGCGCCGGTGAGGCTATGGAACAAGGATTGCGCGACTGCTGCCGATCTGTTCGCATTGGAAAAATTCTCATCCAGCGCGACGAGGAGACCTGCATGCCCAAACTGTTTTACGATAAGCTGCCTACTGACATTGCTAACCGCTGGGTCCTTCTTCTTGACCCCATGTTTGCGACTGGTGAGTTGAGCTTGTTCTACAATACCCATGGTCACCCAGCTAATTTTTTTTTTCTTCCAGGTGGTTCTGCAACTCTGGCTGTTGAGACATTGATCGAAAGAGGTGTTCCTGAGCACCGCATCCTATTCCTCAACCTCATTGCCAGCCCGTCTGGTGTTGCTGAGTTTGCGGAAAGATTCCCTAAACTCCGGGTCGTGACCTCGTTCATTGATCAAGGATTGGATGAGAAGAAGTGAGAGAATATTGCACCCTTGAATAGTGCGATTGCCATGCTGACTGATTGATAGGTATATTATCCCCGGCCTGGGAGATTTCGGCGACAGATATTACTCTATGTAAAAGTGCTGTTTTCTACCACGTTGAAAGGAACATCGGTGGTTAAAGGATCACTTGGAAATTCTGAAGAATTCAGTATTCCATTTTCCATCCATTTCTCAGTCTGTTTCAGATGCCATAAGGCACTTCCATGTCGCCATACAAGTCACCTATTTAGAGTTGACTTGATGGCCGGTAGTGGGGTAGAGGTCTAGATGGTTGGTCTAGATAAGTGAGACACTTCTTGGGGTTTGGGATATACGATAAGCATATGCAACAAGAATATGCAGCAAGAATATCAAATACCATGGCATGTACATACAAGAATCTCATGACTCAATTGTTGTTAATATGCCTTAATGCGCCGTTCGCCGTCATCCCATGATCAGTAGTCATCATCATAGCTATCGCCCTGCGCAGTCTCTTCTGGAATGCCCTGCTTGCTGATCCCTCTCTGTCCTGACTGGCTTGGGTTCGGTGCGTCATATTGATTGGCGGTGTCCTTCGCAACTGCATCACATGCATCTACCCAATCCGAATAGACATCCACGGGGGCAGAGAGATCTGTAAAGGGTTTGTGTTAGAATAGTTTAGACCAATATCTTGGGATAATAATTAACTCACAATTGATACCAGTTTGGAACTTCTGGCCACAAACTTTGCAAGAAAGATCGCCTAGGCCAAGCTTCTTGTCTAACTTGACGATCACAGAGTTCTCATGGTTGCAAAAGAGACAGGAAAAGGTGGTAGCGAGAGGTTCCCTCTATATTGTATGGTCAGTGCTAGGTGCACAACTTGGCAGCATATGATTCACTTACCTTTTTGGGCCCCTGGGGCTTCGAGCTTGACTTCTTGCGCTTGCCCTGTATGAACATTGTGAATTAATATCTATTCACGGTCGGGATAGTCTAGATGGTCAAGTAGGGATAAATTGAAGCGCATACCATGTTTATGTTAACCTGCGATACAGGATTTGAAATGTAAGAGAAGGGATGAGAGGGAAGGTGAAGCAATAAGTCTTGCGTCGCGTGGAGGGCAGGAGCAGACCCGCGGTATGGATGCCAAGGCGACTGCCTAATTTGGAATCGGAATAATAAGCATCCATCTTCCGACATGTGATGTCAATCGGTGGCAACGATCTACATTGTACAATACAATGTACACTCCAGGGCTATGTGGAAATGGTTTCTATGTATTATGCTAGTTTAAGACTTGGAGGGAGCTCAATGCTGATTTTGAGGGAAGAGTATGTATATGTGTTGATTTTGGAAAATGGTATACCATTCTAATACACAAGTATACAAATATACGCATGTAAGTGTACAACAGTTACAAGGAACATTTTAGCGCCAATAGCGTATGATCTATTGTAACGGCCAACGATCTCAATCTATGGATTTAATACAAAGTAATCTCCAGGGCTGACAGACTCTATGATGACATAATGTGATGACATAATGATCTGGGGCTTTTTTAATGTTCGATCACATGATCTTGTCTTATTACATAATCAGCTAGGGCCCGCGCACTCGCTTAGCCGAGTTTTCTGTGGGTTTTCAACCCTCCCAGTCGAGTGTCGAAACCCTCTGAGCGCGCGGTGCGATACCTTTGTCTGTCTTCCAACAACACACAGATACGACTCGCAAACATGGCTGTTGGAAAGTAAGCGCCCTATTCTTCACCCTTTTCCTGCTTTCAATTTATCGAATTACTTGCGCATCTACGACATCCATTGAATTCACGAACGGACGGCTAATTCTCATCGTTCAGGAACAAGCGTCTATCTAAGGGTAAGAAGGGTATCAAGAAGCGCACAGTCGACCCCTTCACTCGCAAGGACGAGTACTCCGTGAAGGTGTGTTCTATCCCTCTCATCCCCTATGCGCACAATGCTAATCGTCTCGACAGGCTCCTTCCACCTTCCAGACCCGCGAGTATGCACACCACCCGAATCGAATATGGCGAATTTTGAGTTGGATTGGCTAACGGAATTATCAGTGTCGGTAAGACTCTGGTCAACCGCACCAGCGGTTTGAAGAACGCCAACGACTCCCTCAAGGGCCGTATCTTCGAGGTCTCCCTCGCCGACCTCCAGAACGATGAGGACCACGCCTTCCGCAAGGTCAAGCTCCGCGTCGACGAGATCCAGGGCAAGAACTGCCTGACCAACTTCCACGGTCTCGACTTCACTACCGACAAGCTCCGTTCCCTTGTCCGCAAGTGGCAGACTCTGATTGAGGCCAACATCACCGTGAAGACCACTGACGACTACCTCCTCCGCCTGTTCGCCATTGCCTTCACCAAGAGACGCCCCAACCAGATCAAGAAGACCACCTACGCCGCTTCCTCCCAGATCCGTGCCATCCGCAAGAAGATGGTCGAGATCATCCAGCGCGAGGCTTCCACCTGCACCCTCTCTCAGCTCACCCACAAGCTCATCCCCGAGGTTATTGGACGTGAGATCGAGAAGTCCACCCAGGGCATCTACCCCCTGCAGAATGTTCGTTTCACGCCCTCAGACCAGACTGGAATATTGCACATACGGTTGCTAACACGCATATCTACAGGTCCACATTCGCAAGGTTAAGCTCCTCAAGTCCCCCAAGTTCGATCTCGGTGCTCTCCTTGCTCTGCACGGAGAGTCCGCGACTGATGACAAGGGCCAGAAGGTTGAGCGTGAGTTCAAGGAGACCGTTCTCGAGAATGTTTAAAGGTTATGTCAATGCAGTGGTGTCACGTACTGGTCAGCCGGGGCAAATCATTGTCTTCTGGTCATAGGAAAAGAAAAAAGTTCAAACGTGTATGACAGATTCGAACTGGCGTGGAACTTTTAGCTACGCGTTACCAGTCTTAGACATGATCCCAAAAATTCAAGGGTAGTAGTTCATTTCATGTTCAATATTTTTGCTACCGTGTAAAAAGGTGCATTGTGTAGACTCTACACCTTCGGGGTGTATGCTTGGTACAACTAGATGATGTTCCATGCTTCGTCTCTGTACTTCATTTAGCCCCATACTCGGTTCATCTTCCGTGTGTCTAGTGCGAACTGTGGAGAGCGACAGTGAGTTCCAGTTCATGATCGATCTAATATAAATGAGGTATGACCGGTGATAGTTCTAGTTATATGTTATATTCCAGAGTTTTGATAGAGATAGACTACAAAACAGTAGTACGTCTATAATTAGGGTCGAGGTTCAAGACTTTTAAAAGAACGAAAAAAAATGCATTAGAGTGGATGCAGTATTACAGATATTCATTGGTGGCTGTAAGGCCACAATGATTGCATGTCAATACGTTTGATAGGACGAGTGTCTCTTAGGTTGCTCCGCTCTCTCTTTCTTTTAAGTCGTGAAATTCCCCGCTAGACTCGAAGAAACTTAGTCCCGGGAGATGTTATATTGTGATTTCTGGGGTATCACACTCCCGATATAGTTTCAAACTTGGAGATAGTCGGTAGTCTTCTATACTTAGTAATTGCGAAGTGCAATTGCTTATATACAGCAGCGATTAGTACATGTATACATTGTTGTCTCGGTACTTATTAGTGATAATGAGGAAACTACCTAGGTAGATATTCATTCGGCGACAGGTGTGAATTGTTTAGAGGCAGTTTTACAGGGTCTAGATGTATGTAATATGGTACAATTCGAAGATATTCAATAGCATACATAGTAGTCATACTAAGGTGCTTTCAAAGCCCTAGTTATACTACGCATAATAAAGCGTCATGTCCGTAGATCATACATAAGCGGGTGGTTTCAACGGAGAGAATTATCATTCATGGGCAAAATACAAGCATGAGTAGGTTCTATTAGGTCAAGCAACTGTTTGTTATGCTTAAATATGTGTTCTTCCATACATCCATAAGTACTATTTACCGAATTGGTATGTTCGCCACCCTCAAAGTGGGAAGTATATGGCAAACCACGATGCCCTCGAGGCAATTCGTATATCTTCAAGATATAATAGTATTTGATGGACAGTCTGTTTCTTATTTCTTTTTCTTATTAATGTCCATATTCCATATCATCTATATATTCTATATAAAAAAAAAGGAGGAAAGAAAGTTGAGCTCCTACCCCCGCACTCTCTCACTTGGTATGAGGTCACGAGTCCCCCTCTGATTGCATGATAGTCTCCCCTGTTTCCTATTTCCTGTTTCCTGTTTCTTTCTTTCCCATCTGAATTTCATCTTTCAATATCTTGGGCGTCTACATTTGAGACCAGTAAGCATCCATATCACATATGTACTTCCATTCAATCTTCCTTGGCAATATATACTTGCCATATCAATCCATCCTACTAACATAACAAAACCAACTAGTGACTCGCTCACACAAAACCAACGACCGTGAACACCAAGCCGAGGGCATGATGGGTACCCGTGACAATATACCACGCTACTTTGCCAAGTCTGGCCCAACTGACGCTGACCCTCGCAAGACAAAGAAAGACGGAGGTGGCAAAGGCAATTGGTAAGCAATTCATCCCAGAATCACCTATTTTCATTCAACTAATACTTGCATTATTACAGGGGCCGATCGGGTGACGAAATGCAGGACACTGACTACTCCTTTGCCAATGCTAGACGTCGATCCAACAGTAGCACTCAGGGTCTGGCCGACTTCAACACCAAATTCGAGGCTTTTGAACCAGAGCCTGTTTTCGAGGAAGAGGTTGACGACAAGGACATGGCTACCGCGAATGAAAATGCCGTGACCAAGGTCGAGAGTGCCAGCAGCAATGAGAGTGTGGCCGATCATGAGGGAAGGAAGTATTAGGGAATCTCGGCTATCGCTGCGACGATTTGATTCCTTCAATCCACTCTGAATGTTAGGTTCTGGATGTTAAGTAGGCCGGAACATGAACAAGGTAACCCTAGGGGTCATGACTCGGTGACCTGGGGAATCAATATCTTTTTATTGTATGAGAGTATGAGAAAACAATCTGAATCAACGTAACATTCATATTTCACTGTAAAAATGAGTCTGTGATCAAGTACGTAGTTTGGGGGTTTACTGAAGGCCCAAATAATACAACATTGAATCTCTTGAGATTTCATACATACAACATATTATGACCCACTGGCCACTGGATAACTGAGTAACAATATTGAAAACGCCATTTCAACCCCAACCCACGTCAATTGTAGAGAAAATTCAATCGTTTGATCCAGCAACTTTACCATCACAGGTCTATTGGGGGGGCGATATATGGACCTCTGAAGTTTCCCGGAGGTTTTGGAACCAGAAATCAAGTTTTCCGACTTCAATGCACTGCCGCAAAATATCATTTTCGGTCTCAAGGTCGGACGCCACACGAGATTTTTGCTCTGGTCGGAACCGTGAGACAAGAATGTCGGAATCGGAATCAGTCATCAGAGCCTCTGCGGGGGAGAGAGGCGTGTAGAGAGAGTGCGGACCAGCCCTTCGAGGTTCTAGATATATCATGTTAGTTACATCGATAGTCCAATTTATGTTTGGAACAAACTCACCTTCCAAGCATGCAGTTAGTGATCGGTAGAGCGCCGTGTCGGCGACCGAGTTGTGTGCATTGCCGTTGGGCCCCTCAGCAGCTTTGCCCCGAGCTACCCAATCATCTTTGATCAAGCACCGTCGCCAGATCAACCTCTGCAAGGCCTTGAGGTATGATGGGTCTCGCTGGCCATAGCGTCCATAGTCCAGAACCTGTAAGGCGAGATGGAACTCGCTTGGTACAAGTTCGCTCTCTCCATCATCTGCAAGCTGACCAGGTCCCATCAACGTCAAAATATCAATCAGACCATCGGCACCGACAACCTGCCGGTCGATCAAGGTAGAGAGGGCTTCGCTCAGAATTTCATGAAGCGATGGCCGATCTTCGAAGATATGATCTCCGTACTGACCGACCGCTAGTTCAACTTCTGCCTTTCGGTCAATAGCACCCTGCAGGATAGGCTGCATGTGTCCGTAGAGAATGTCTTGGATCCCATCGACCTCAACATAATCATCGAGACGTTTCACATCCTCTTGCAAAGTAGAGGCCGCAACGGAAGAATCCATTCGCTCCTGCGTGGCTAGCTTGCCTAGCTTGGCTAGCGAGATCTCTACCCGGTGGCTCCACAAGTCTTTCTCACCAAGTGCTAGATTCTCCAATGAGGCTGCGGCAGTGTTATAATCGTCTTCACCGGTGACATCGTTAATCCAGCTCAGGCGAGCATATGCGGGGTTACTTCGAAGGAATCGAGTGATAGCAGTTTGGTATTTTCGCATGGTAAACAGAATTCCTGAACAACCCATCGCAATCTGCCGGGAGAAGTATGCATCCGCCCATGCATCGCCAAATTTGTCGAAATACTTCGCGATCAATTGGTCGGCATCGATCTCAGTTTGATTCGTGGAAACATCACTCGGTGCTTCTGTACGCGAATGTTGACTTGCCTTTTGGTCTTGAAGCTCGATGATCAACTCGACCAACGCTCCCATGTCTTGGAAGCTTTCTGCCAACTCAACAGCATCGGCAAGATGGTCGATACCAGCCAGTTTGAAGAGTTGCCATTTGCGGTCTTCAACATGGGTCTGTTCAATAGAGACGCTCTCGTCCATTAATTTGGGATCTCCTTGAGCAGAAAGCCATCGAGTTCGTTCGCGATGCATTTGACCAACCACCCGAAGGTGTCGATAGCAGTTCTTCGCAACTTGATTCAAAACGTGTGCGTCAGGGGTATCTGCAGCCGATGCGGGCGCTTTCCATGACCGGCAACTATCCAGTTCCAAATCAAGTAAATCCCCTGCTTCGGAGTAACCAACACCTCTCGATGTCCAGAACTCAGGAAGATCTTCATATCCATCGGCAAGCACACCATCCTCCAGGAAGTCTTCACGAAGACCATAAAGTGCAACGTGCTCATCGCGATACCGGAAAGCAGTCTCCGTGACCGCTAGGAACAGCTCACTGGCCGCCAGGATCTTCTCTGACAATGTGCGCGTAGGGTTAGAAGTGTTGCCGCGGCCGGACTTGATTGCGTTCCTGATCCAAGGGATGATATGCTCCATGCGGTAAGAGTCTCTCAGGAACCATTGGCGCACCGGATCTGTCTCTCCGTGCTGTGGGTTGATTGGAGTCTTGAATTTGTCGTGCATGGATCCAATGACATGACCGAGGAAAGACTCCTCGTCTCCATTCTTGATCTTGCAAGCCTCTTGAATCTTCCATATAGCTCTTTGTGCTGCAATTTTTTCTGCACCCCACAGCAACTCCCACCTTGCTGGTCGACTTAAAGGATTGCCTTGGCGTGACAGCAATGAGGCAAGATCATCCAGTGCCTTTGCTCTCAACCGGAGGTTCTGCTCTAGTGAAATAGCAGTGGTGGGAATGAAGCGAGTGTCGGATTGGAGTAGCTCCCTGCAGATTTCCAAAGATGCTTGCTCCATTTCAGATGGAGGGAAGTTCAAGTCACCCTCGCTGGATAGATCTAACGGATTCTTTGCCATGGTCCCAAAGAAAACCGCCTGCTCAAGCTTGTGCTTGGCTGTGACCTGAGGCTCATCGACATCTTGTTCTGTTCCAGGACGAGGAAGTGCCGTCACACGAATAACACCGAAATTCCGGAGCATGAGCACACATGCCGCGCAAGGCGAATCGTTCGATTGGTCCTCTGCGATGGACCCCAGTATTTCGTGATCTGTGCCAGAGCGGAAGTGAATGGTGTCTTGGAAAGGTAGAGGCAACTTGTTGGAATCGAGAAGCAGTTGTGAGGATGGACTCTCTTCGACACTTGTCAACGACAAGATAACAAGAGACTGTCCAATAAGGATGAAAGCCGTTTCTTCTGGTTTCGGCACAAATATCTTGGGTTTTGAGGTTTCGAGCAGGGAGGCAGAAATATGGCGAAGATCCACGGTATGCGTCGACACAACGCGAAATTCGTTTCCTGACAAGTGAACCTGAACCACGACCAGCTCCCTAGTTTCCAACCATTGAGGCGACTTAACAACCATATAGAGGCGCCAGGACCCATCGGGAAGTTGAACAGCACCATCGGGGGCAGAGAACGCAAAATCCACGACTTTGAGCTCTGGATCATTTGTTGAGTTCGTATGATGTTCAGGAAGGGCCGAGAGAATCTCATCCTTGAGATCGTATCGTTTTTTGAGGGTGTTCCCGTGGTTCCAATGTGTGTCCCATATCTCAACCAGTCCGGCCGAAGTTGCAATAATGACATCTCGCTGGCCGCGTTGATGAGAACCACCGGCCCGAACGGCAGTGACCTCTTTTCTCCAAGACCCGCTTGCGAAGACGTTCTTGATGCCCCCGAAAATTCCACCACCTCCGGTCCCTGCAGTGCTTCTGAGGAAATTCACGAGCACCGAGGGCTTTCCCTGCGGGTCTCTCAGGGTGATGTGTGCTACTCGTCCGGACGAGAATGTAACGATGATTCCCGAAGGCTCTGCATTGAGTATTTCCGTGGCATACTCACCGGAAAGCATGCTAGGGGTGGATCCTTGGATGCCATTCTGCTTTTGTCGGGATAGACCCAGTGACGCGGCACTGGACACAGTCTCCCAGTAAATGACTTTTCCTGTAGAAGGGATGATAACTAAGAGCCCCGGGTGGTCTCCTGTAGCCGTGGATAATAGAACTCCGAGTGGGACAGCGCCTTTGGGATCTCTGCAAGACTCCGGAATCGATACCGTGAACGTCTCCGACGGAGATGGGGACGAAGCGGGCGCAGAATAGGGCCACACAATGGCATGTGAGCGGGTTAATGCTAGTGCGTAAGCAGGACCAGGTCCGAAAAAGCACTTGAGGGGTTCTGCGTTCAAAGAGTGAGTGTCAACAAACCGCAACCCAAAGTGAAAAAAAGCTATGGAATTGAGATACCTGTTTGTAAGCCCCGAATTTGATCTGGCAAAGATGGCAGTTGATCAACGGTGTAGAAGTCTGTGCTTGACTTTGAATCCAGCAAGTTAGCACTTTGAACTTGAGGGTTTGAAGGAAGCGCAAAGATATGAAAGCAACTTACCAGAACGATTGTCCCCTCATTGTTGTTTCCAGATCCATCGCCTTGCTTCGCAACACGGGCTGACAGATGTGTCTCGGTATTGATCTGATCAGTAGGGGTAATGTCGCCGTTTGGCGCAGTGGGGGTTGGTAATTTTGCGAGCTCACGACCAAGGTTGGTATCGGAAGGGGATTCGTCTGGGCGACGCAAAACAGAGCGCTGCCTCTTGGCCTTTGGTGGTTTGACAGAGTCATCTGAGCTTGTGCGCTGGCGTCGACGAGTATTGCGACCACCGGCTTTAGGGACGAACATTTTGAATATGTACGCTACCTGTAGTCGCGAACACGCTAGCCGGCGAAAGCTTTGAAGGTTGCTGACCTTTGGAGGTCCTATTCACACTTTAAGGTTGAGGCAAGGTCGGAGATGAGATAACGATTAAGATAAATGGAGAAGAAAGCTCTCCCAAGAAGATGCGTTTGAATTGGAGCAGGTGATAGCACGGCGATAGGGTTGGTCAATAACAATCGAGGATGTTTGTCCGAAGGCGGTGAGACAACACATAGTACCCTGTTGTGCAGGTCGGTACAATGCGTGTGTAATTTATTATGTACTATAAATGTATACTATGTATTGATGGTGTACATATGTTATGTGTGTATGTAGTATGTACCTTATAGAGAGTACTCACAATCCAAATACATTTTAGGAACAAAATCTCCATAACAAATAGTAATTTCAATTGACTACAGAATAATGTTCTATATCAACTGTCCCTACTCTGCTTATTGAAATGTGGGG